ACCTTCTTTAAGCGCTGGAATTGGCTTTTGAGGTTTTTTCAAAAATTTTGTGAGTTTCCAAAAGGGTTTGGAACTCGGGTCTAATTTAGAAACATTATTTTCAAAAGTTTTGTTCCTCAGGGCAGAGAATCGTTTTTTAGTTTGTTTTTGCAAATCCCGCCAGATAACTTTCATGGCAGGATCGCGTGTTCTTTGATATTGTCTCCTACGGACATTTTTAAGACGGATCAAGAGCTGAAGATCGTCGTCTATTATAATTGAATCGAATTTAACCTCGCATTTTGGTACTGAGGCAGCTCTTGCTTCAACTATAGAAGTAGTCAGAGATTCAAGAGCATAATTAATTTCATCTTTGGTTTGCAAAGTAATGTTTGGATCGAAGTTATATTCCATAAATGTTCGATATTGCTCCCAATCAGCTCTATGGTAATTGAAAGTAGAGCTGTTGGGATTAGAAATTATTTCTTGAGATATTTCAAAAGTTACTGGAAGGTGATCAGAACCGAAGTCAGCATGGGTAACCAATTGGCTACAAAGTTGACATGAATCAGTTAAGACCAAATCAATAGTTGAGGGATTTCTTGCAGAAGAAAAGCATGTTGGACTGTTTGGATATTGAATAGTGTAATAACCTGCAGAACAATCATCAAACAGAATATTACCATTGGAATTGCTTTGAGCATTATTCCATGAGCAGTGTTTTGCATTAAAATCACCAATAATGAAGAATTTAGACCTATGACGGGTAAGTTTCTGGAGGTCACCCTTGAAAAAATTCTTTTGCTGGCCTACGCATTGGAATGGCAAATAGGCAGCTATAAACGTAAGTTGTCCAAATTTTGTTTCAACAGAAACTCCCAAAGTTTCAAAAACTTTGGTTTCAAATGAAGAAAGAATTTTATGTTTGATTCGTCTATGAATAATGATGGCAACGCCACCACAGGGTCCATCAAGACGATCATTTCTATAAATCAAGTAATTTGCGTCCTTCTTAACCTTATGGTCATTATCTTCATTATCTTTAAGAGATCGAGCATTCCAATTTAAAATGTTTAAAGCTTTAAAATCCATTACTGAATTTTAAAGTCATGACAATATTATTAGCAAATTTTACTCCAGTTTGAATAGCATCAAACATGGAGTTAGATTTAAGCATATCAGAAATCATGTCAATTAATGAATTCTGTAAAAATTCCATTTTAGGAGCAGTAATGCTTCCTAAGTCAAAATTGTCAAAATTTCCGTTAGAACGTTGGTTAGTATTTTGACTTCTACCCGCTGCAATAGCAGCATAGGTAGCTCCATTAACTCGTTGAACATTGTTAGCAGCGAGGGGAGTAGGTACAGATGAAACATTTGAAGCAGGGGTGATATTTGTACCTACGGGTACGAATGTAGAATTTGTTCCTCGCTGACCGTTGTTAACAGCAGAGGAATTTGTACCTGGTCGGAAACGTGGAGCGTTTCCTACCTGACGGTTAGAACGAGATTGTAGGATCGCTTTGCGAGTCTTACATTCCCAAAAATTGGATTTGTGGTTTTCACCACAATTTGAACATTTAAATTTCTTAGGATCTTCCTTCACAGGACAGTCGTCCTTTGCGTGAGAGGAATCACCACAATTCATGCATTTAGCTGGCATGTAGCAATTTTTAGTTCCGTGACCCCATCCCTGGCACTTACGGCACTGAGTGAGGTTTTGGAAATTTCCTCCAGTCTTCCTGAAGTGTTCCCACTTCACTCGGACATGGAGCATAAGGCTAGCTTTTTCTAAGGCCTAAAGGTTGTTTAGTTCACTAGACTTGAAGTGAACTAAATAAAAATCATTAGAAATCCCGTTGCGCGAATCGCCAGGACGGGATTTCATTTTCATTTTGATTACTTGGAGTGGCACAACTCCAAGTAATTTTGCCAGTTCATCTTTGATCTGATCCAGGGATTCGCCACTGGGCAGTCCTTTCATGACAACCTTGAACACACGTTCAGTTTTGGTGTCGTAAGTAAAAAATTTGTGCTTCTTCTCAGTAAGATACTTGAGAAGACATTTAAATCCGTCCAAGGTTTCAGCCAATACACGGCATTCACCCCGACGTCCAATTTGTAGTGAAAACTTAACTTTCACGAAATTCAAAAGTTCCATGCGAAGAGCATGGAAATCGGAAGTGGTTATCACAATAGGGGGAATCTTTTCCTTCTTGGCATTAAGCCGGGAAAGTTTACTAGAATTTTTTTTGGATGATGGATCATTCTCATCATCCGTGAGCAAATCAAATTGATTACTCAAATTAATTTCATCAGAAGGGGGGTCAAGTGTTTGCCCCTTTCTTTTGCGTTTAGGCGCCATGGCGGCAGTAAATTTTTATCCAAATCGACTTCCAAGCAGATTACTATAAGAATCTGAAGGATCGAAGAGGAATTTTCCAAATCGATATCCAAGAAGGATTACCTCGGGTAGGGTCCAAACAAGGATCGAAGAGGAATAAGAGTTGAACAAGGTAGAAATTTTTTACAGGTTGAGCACTGAAAAGTGCTGTTTAAATTTGTTGTAGCTTTAGGTAGTAGTAACACTTCCTTAAGCAAAAAGCAAATAGATCCGCACGGCAAGAGAGCACGATGCGGACTGATATGAATGAGGTGAACTTCGCATATGAGAGAGCAATTGTTTTTGAATAATGCATCTGAACATACCAAATCGATACGATAAGAAACTCCGGAATTATTTCAGTTTGGAATCTGACTTCCATGACATTCTAGCAGCGTACTTCCTTTGGAAAAGTTCATAGGCACTTTATGGGCTATATTTGTACATGGTTAGTTGCATGGTTCAAGCAAAGTTGTGGTCTGTAGGGAAGTAAATGCAAAAAAAAAGTAGGTGATTTTTTTAGATTTTTGATCTTTTCCCAATAATTTTAGAAAAATCGAAACTATTTTTTTTTTTGAGCGGTTGCTTCTTCTTAATTCATGATTTAAAAAAATACTCAACTCCCTGCCGGGCGGCCTTACGGCAGTTGGCCGAAACTTTGTCCAAAGCCGTCGAAAAGACAAATGTTGGCATATTCTTCAACTCTCTGGTCGCCCTATTGATCAGTTCCTTTTCGGTTTTCGTCACGAAATTGGTCGAATAGATCCGCCGCTTCAAGTTCACCTAGAAATTTTCAATTGGGCGTAGCTGGGGCACGTGGGGGGCGGGGGTGGTTGGCGTTCTTGTAGACGACTGAGAACTTTAAATGCTCCATTTCCTCCAGTGACCGCTTTGCGTAATGTGCCGAGGCCAGATCCGGCCAGAACACGACATAGTCCTTCGAATGGTGTTTCTTAATGAAGGCCGCAACTTTCGGTAAGCACTTCGTGCTGGAAACCTCCCCGTTGACCACAAGCCCCGAAGAAAACTGATTGTCAGCCACAAGAGGACCTTCTTCTGGAACTTCGTGTGGGACATGTACTTCACGTACTCCCTCCTTCTAGGGGGACGTAAAATAGCCGGTTTCCTGCCAGTTATTGCCATCGAGCGTCAGGCACGTCTCGTCGTCCATGATCACCCACGTTGCACTGCGCAGGGAAGACATTTTTGACGAGCACCTTCAGCCGCTGCTTTTGGGTGGCCGCTTGCGCTTCCGATGACGAAGTAAAAATTATTTAAAGATTTCATGCAAATTTAACAAAATCTTTCGTCACTTTCAATATAATCAGTCACAAACTCTTACAATGAAAATGAAAACTTAAAAATTCGAAATTCATCACAGTTTCGAGTCAAATACTATAGATTAGAAAAAATATGAAACTTTATAACGTTTGTATTAGCATTTGTCAGAACTTATAACGAAATTAGTCCCAACTTTCAAGTCATATTTTCCAATCAAATGGTAAAACGTTTAAACAAACTTTGCACCATCTTATTTTAAAATTTTCATAATTTTAATAAGAAATTTAAATTCCCTAAAGTATTTGTAATACAGATATATTGTACATTATTTAATCTAACTAGTACCGTCCAATTTAGGAGCGAATTGCATCCAAACCCGCCTGCATCATACCTGATGTCAGTTTCTTTATATTAACATACTACGACGTCGCTAAAAAATGGATGAAAAGCAGGCTTACAGCATGATATTAAGCTCTCCCACCTTCGTAAAGGTGCTTAAGAATGGCCTACGGGAGGGAAAGTGATGATAACGACAGTTGAAAATAAATTCTGGCGACTCTGAGCCGAGTATCTCTTCCGAGTCTGCATAAGTTCTCCTTGTTATGTAGCTCGGCAGCATCTGTTGGCAGATAACATTGGATTATTATAAGGTTTCGAGCCCGTGTTCTAAATCTGATTACAATTATCCTCTCTTTAAAAGACTTCCACTTGATGAGCATGGCATGAGCCTGAACGCTAAGTAGGAAACCAACTCGACGGTGCCGGAAAGCGGTTTCACCGCGAATACCAGGATATAACAGTACCTGTCCCGACGGCAGTTTGTATTTTCCAAAGCTCGGCCAACTGACTTCACTTAGTATCAGAATTTTAAGCTTGATGCGTCTCACCTCGCTGGCAAGTTGTCGAAGCATATTCTGCTAGGATAACGTTAATACATACCATGTTCCAATTTTCCGGTGTTTTAAGCAAAAGTCGATGCCGTTAAGTCAGTTCGTAGAACTCATCGTTGGTTTCTGTAACGGTTATAATATTCGGAGACAGTAGGTGGTTTACGTAAGGTCTCCGTTTCCCATGATGGGACTGCCATCTTAGATGTAGCTTCCGGGAATACGCATTTTATATTCAGTCGCTGGAACGCGTGAAACTATTCAAAAATCCACGATAGCCTCTAATATTCTTCACACTGTAGTTTTATGTTGATCACATCATATAAAACATACCATACAAAGCCTATCCGAGTCCAACATTGACATTGAAATTTAGTATAACAATCTCAACATAATACAGCATCATACGAGAAACAAGACAAAACATCATATCGACCCTAACATTCCTCCTTCCTTCCATCTCATTCCAGCCAACGCACCGTACAGGAAACCAAAGGATGGGACGTCTTCCGGGATCCTCCGATCAAGGAGGACACCGGCTCGATGGCCGACCAGGCCTGCCTGGAGCTGACGATCAAAATCCTCAAAATCTTGGCGTACCTGCTTACGTTCGTGATCGTTCTCACGGGCGGGGTTGTCGCCAAAGGCTGTGTCCTCTTCATGTCCGCGCAGCTCAAGCGGGACCGTAAGATCACGTACTGCAACCGGGATCTGGCTCGTGACAAGCAGTTTGTAGCGTTCCTGCCCGAAGAAGAACGGATAGCGTGGATGTGGGCGTTGATGATTGCGTTTGCGGTTCCGGAGATTGGAACCTTCATCCGATCCACTCGAATATGTTTCTTCAAATCGCTGAAGAAACCATTCAAGTCACATTTCTTGCTGGTGTTCTTGATGGAGTCGTTCCATACGGTCGGTTTGGTGTTGCTGTTTTTCGTCGTCCTCCCGGAAGTCGATTCGGTGAAAGGCGCCATGCTGACCAACTGCCTCTGTGTGATACCAGGTCAGTAGTGCGGAAAGCTCTGTATATAGCTTTGCGTGATTCGATTGTGGAATTAATTAAATCGCCACTTTGTTTTAACAGGTTTGCTTGGAATGTTTTCGCGAACCAACAAGGAAGGAAAGCGAGCTGTGAAAAGTATCGTCGATTTGGCGGCTATTGCGGCGCAAATAACCGGTTTCGTGGTGTGGCCATTGTTGGAAAACAGACCGGTGCTTTGGTTGATTCCCGTATCGGCCCTGCTGACGTCCTGTGGATGGTGGGAAAATTACGTTTCACCACAGAGTCCCTTTGGATTCATCCGAGCGATGGGTCGGGTTAAGGAAGACCTAAAACAGACACGGTATTTCACCTACATGTTCCTGTCGCTGTGGAAGATTATCCTTTTCTTCTGCATTGTGTTGGTTACAATGTTCGTTAACGGAGATGAAGTAGCCAACCTGTTTTCTTTGTTTGGAATCGGTTTTGGTCCACACAAGATCGTTATTGAAGAAGTTGCGACAGCCTTCAGTTCTGCACTTCCGGATCTTGTGGAAGCATCCCAGGTCGGAGATACGGTAGACATTGACGCTTCCTATAATACCGTTACATACGTGTTGATTATTCAGATCTTGGGGGCCTACTTGTGTTACGTTTTTGGCAAGTTTGCTTGTAAGATTTTGATTCAAGGTTTCAGTTATTCCTTCCCTGTGAACCTAACGGTTCCGGTAGCAATTTCCCTGCTGATCGCTGCTTGCGGTATACGAAACGATGATCCATGCTTCTTCCATGGTTCCATACCGGGATACTTGTTCTTCGAAAGCCCTCCAGTATTCCGATTGAGTGATTTTGCGTCCCGTCAAATGGCATGGGCTTGGTTGCTTTGGCTGCTGTCACAGACTTGGATTACGTTGCATATTTGGACACCGAAATGCGAACGTTTGGCCAACACGGAGAAACTGTTCGTCACTCCCATGTACAACGCTCTGCTGGTTGATCAATCGATGGGACTGAACAGGAGACGGGACGATCAAGCGGACGTCAAGACCGAAGATTTGGCCGAAATCGAAAAGGAAAAGGGAGATGAGTACTACGAGACCATCTCGGTGCACACGGATGGTTCGGCGATGCCTCGACCGAGTGTGAAATCTTCCGATCACATCACCAGGATCTACGCCTGTGCGACCCTGTGGCACGAAACGAAAGATGAAATGATCGTGTTCTTGAAATCAATCATGCGAATGGATGAAGATCAGTGCGCTAGACGTGTGGCTCAAAAGTATCTGCGTATCGTGGATCCAGACTACTACGAGTTTGAAAGTAAGGAAGTGCATGTGAAGGTTATGGGATTAGATTGTTAATCAGTATTTTGTGTTTTTTTTTTTTCACGCAGCTCATATTTTCTTCGATGACGCATTCGAAATTTCCGATCATAGTGATGATGATATTCAATGTAATAGGTTCGTGAAGCTCTTGATTGATACGATTGATGAGGCGGCTTCCGAAGTTCATCAGACCACCATTCGGTTGCGACCACCGAAAAAGTACCCAACGCCATACGGAGGACGTCTGGTTTGGACACTGCCTGGTAAGACCAAACTCATTTCCCATCTCAAGGACAAGGATCGTATTCGGCATCGTAAGCGATGGTCTCAGGTCATGTACATGTACTACCTTCTGGGACACCGTTTGATGGAACTGCCGATTTCTGTTGATCGCAAGGATGTCATGGCCGAGAATACCTACCTGCTGACTCTGGACGGTGATATCGATTTCAATCCCAGTGCCGTAACGCTGCTGGTGGATTTGATGAAGAAAAACAAGAACCTGGGTGCCGCTTGTGGTCGTATTCATCCGATAGGATCAGGCCCGATGGTGTGGTATCAGAAGTTTGAGTACGCCATTGGTCATTGGCTGCAGAAGGCTACCGAACATATGATCGGTTGTGTACTTTGTAGTCCTGGATGTTTCTCGCTGTTCAGAGGTAAGTCGTTGTCTGCTGCCTAGAAGTGTGCATTGATTAATTATTGGCATGGCGTTTTACAGGTAAAGGTCTGATGGATGATAACGTTATGCGGAAGTACACTACCCGTTCGGACGAGGCTCGCCACTACGTACAGTACGATCAGGGAGAGGATCGTTGGTTGTGTACGCTGTTGCTGCAACGAGGTTACCGTGTCGAATACTCAGCTGCCTCCGATGCCTACACCCACTGCCCGGAAGGTTTCAACGAGTTCTACAATCAACGTCGTCGCTGGGTTCCGTCCACCATCGCTAACATTATGGATCTGCTGATGGACTACAAACGCACGATCAAGATCAACGACAACATCTCGCTGCTGTACATCTTCTACCAGATGATGTTGATGGGTGGTACCATTCTGGGTCCGGGTACGATTTTCCTTATGTTGGTGGGGGCATTCGTCGCTGCTTTTAAGATTGATAACTGGACATCGTTCTACTACAACATTATTCCTATACTGCTGTTTATGTTGGTCTGCTTTACGTGTAAATCAAACATACAGCTGCTGCTCGCTCAAGTACTTTCCACAGTATATGCGCTGATCATGATGGCGGTAATTGTCGGTACGGCATTGCAGTTAGGCGAGGACGGTATCGGAAGTCCATCAGCTATATTCTTGATAGCAATGACGAGTTCATTCTTCATAGCAGCGTGTCTCCATCCGCAAGAATTTTGGTGTATAGCATCCGGATTGATCTACCTGCTGTCGATCCCATCTATGTACTTGCTGTTGATTCTGTATTCGATCATCAACTTGAATGTCGTCTCGTGGGGTACTCGTGAAGTAGTGGCTAAGAAGACTAAGAAGGAAATCGAGCAAGAGAAGAAAGATGCTGAAGAAGCAACGAAACGAGTTAAGCAAAAATCATTGCTGGGATTCCTTCAAGGAAGTACAGGCTCCAATCCGGACGAGGAAGGATCCGTTGAAATCTCTATCGCTGGACTGTTCCGGTGTCTACTTTGCACTCATGGTAAGACCACTGATGAGAAGGCTCAATTAGTCCACATTGGCGACGCTCTGAATTCCATCACCAAGAAGATCGAAAACCTCGAGAAACACATTGATCCACACGGACATCACACTCGTAAGCGAACGACTTCTGCTGGATCCAGAGATCACCACTTGGGATCGGTGGCCGAAGACAGTGAAGAGGAGGACGAGCAATCTGATTCGGAGACTTCAACGCTGCAGAGAAACGAACGTGACTTCCTGACGAACCCCTACTGGATTGAGGATCCCGACTTGAAGAAGGGTGAAGTGGACTTCATTTCGAGCACGGAAATTCAGTTCTGGAAGGATTTGATCGACCAATATCTGTATCCTATCGATCAGGACAAAGAAGAACAGGTACGAAGCAGAATTTAAGTTCGTTGTCAGGACATTACATTGATGCTATTTCAGGCACGTATTGCACATGATCTGAAGGAGCTGCGTGATTCGTCCGTTTTCGGATTCATCATGATCAATGCTCTCTTCGTACTGATCGTGTTCTTACTTCAGCTGAACAAGGACAACATCCACGTCAAATGGCCGCTGGGTGTCAAGACTAACATTACCTATGACGAAGCCACGCAAGAGGTAACACGCAGGAGGCATTCGAAAGCGCCCGGTCATGATCGTCTGCCACGCTCGCTAGCTGACGGCCAGAATCCCTCCCTCAGACGATTGTACCCGCCTCGGATGTCTCCTGTTCCAGCAGATATTAATCTGTACTTTTCTTTCTTTTCTTTTTCCTTTCATTACCAACAAACCTGTTCCGGACTGCGGAATCGCAATCTGTACAAAAACATACCATAACCACGAACACACCATTTCGGCCAATATCGTTCTAAATTATGCAAACATGACTCGAACTGTACAATCCACACAAAAACAAAAATCAACTACTGTCAACGCATTTGAAAACAAAACCCATCACCACGGGATCAACCAACCTCTTCCCAACAAAACACAATCAACAGGCACGAATTGCTTCGGACCTGATCGAGTTGCGAAATAAGTCCGTGTTTGCATTCTTCATGTTCAACGCGCTGTTCGTACTGATCGTGTTCTTGCTGCAGTTGAACAAAGACAAACTGCACATCATTTGGCCGTTGGGCGTTAAAACCAACATTACCTATGACGAAGTGACAGCCGAGGTTTGATTCAACGGAATTTTCTACTTCATATGTTTTACCTCTATATATGTTCTCCCTGCTAATATCTGCTCTGTTTTACCCCCACCACCACACATTGTAACTTTTCTTCACAAAAAAACCGTCCGTACCTACTACCTACTCGCTGTTCACAATTCGGAAAAGAGCAATGACCCAACCCCCTCAAAAAAAAAGCAAAGGCTAATAATACCTTCCATTATGGATGATGCGTTTCCTCCCCCCACAACCACCCCTCACTGGCTAACAGCATCCAAGGCAAGGCAGGAAGGGAATATTATTGCTAACCAACTGTCCTGTGTTTTCTAAACTTTCTCTATCCTTACTGTGGCAAAAGCATGTGGCATGTGGCTACCGTTAAATGGATAATACCCATATCTCGATAGTGGAATGGTTCCGGTGTCCAAATAACACTCACCCACATATACACAAACACCAGTGATTTTCTTCGAATGACCGAAGCGAACATCAGTGATTAACACTATATTTAAGAGCCCCCACTTCCAGCAGGTGCACAAATCCCAAGATTTTTCACTGTATTTACGTTGAGAACCAGTATTTTAGTTGTGTGAAAGTAGTGTAATTTGAGTAGTTTATGTGATCTGTAAGAGTTGTTTTCGAGTGTTTGCTTTATGTGTATTATAGAACTGTTGAATTTAAAATGTCATCGACTGAAAAACGAGGTTCAACACTACGTTGCATGAGACGTTCGAATGGATTATAGCGATCGCTACAGTTTAATTTATAAACATCACGACCATCAATGGAAAAGGCCTCAACAGCAATTGAGAACACAATTTCACATAATCTGTTTTCCGTTTGTTGTTCACAGACAGTACAGTCGAATAAATAGAAATCCTTTTCACAGACTACAAAATAGAGTACCTGACACTGCAAAACATGTCTGGTACCTTTATATATGCATTTAGATTAACATGCGAAGTACCTCCTTTTTTGCATACTAGGCACAACAGATACTTTCTTAGCCCCACCCCAGGGTTTTCCGCCGTTTTTATGAATTGGGCGGGGCTTATGAAGTATCTTTTGTGCCGTGTATTCAAAAAAATAAAAATATAGAGGTACCAGACATGTTTTGCATTTTGTATAGTCTGTGATAGGGAAATCACAAATCGAGTGTCATCAAAATACATGGCATGTTAAAAGATTGGTAGTAGAGCGAGTAAAAAAAAATGTATAGGAAAAAGTTTTTTATTTAATTATAGCTTGTTTAACAATAATTTCTAGAAAAATTTGAACGACAAAGGCCACACATTATTTGTTTATTATCAATGAAACAGCGCCATATGTGTTGGAAATAGCCTTGACTAAATGGTTCATTCTCCGAGATAGGAAAAATGAGCGCCGATTCGCGAGAAAATAGCGTTGGAAATTGTGCTTGCGGAGGCTGTTGAGACCGTTTTCATTACAGGTCGAGATATTTTAGTTCATCCGACAAATTCATATGTTTACATCATTTCATTATCGATCACCTACATCAGCGGTTCCCAACCTGGGGCACGCGGAGGGCCTGTCTGTCGATGTATTTTGCGTTTTTAAAACGAATTCGATAACGCACCTAATATTTTCACACATCACTGTACACCAACCATCGTAGCCTTGATCAGTCTGGTCAGTCTGGTTAGTGAAAATTGTTCTCGTCGAACATCTTCCAATAATTGGTGATGTGTAGGACCTTGACTTGACTTGAGCAGCATCATACTCAGCAGGTGGCGAAAGTGGCATTTGACACCAAAAAATGTTAGCTCATATGTTCCTTGAACATCTACAAAGTTCCCTTATCTTTACGTCTTGTCAATTTTCTCAACTTCTACCAGATTCTATGAACTTCTTTCAAGTTCCATAATTATTCTTTCCAAGGTATTTCAATTTGAACAATATCTCAGAACATCCATGGCCTTCTTCAAACTTCAGGGAAAACCTTTGCTTAAACATCTGGGCGAAAAACCTTCTCAAAACTTTCACTTAGTGCTCAGATAAAATCCTGATGTTCTAAGAAATATGCTGAACATCTACGATAGTCCCTGAACCTCCAAGAAATTCCCTGAATCGTTCACTGAGATTCTAGAATTTTGGCTGAGCTTCTACGAACTTTCTTGAACACTTAAAAAAAAAATCCCAGCATTTCTATGAAGCTTTACGAAGTTCCTCCAATTGCTAAGCAATTTGCATGACTTTTGCAAAGTTCTCAGAATAACTATGAAGTTCACTGCACATATACAAAGTTCCCCGAACTTTTTAGATTTTCATTGATTATCTGCGCAGTTCCTGAACTTCTATGGAATTAACTAATCCATTCTAAGTCCATTAAACATTAACGAAGTGCCCTGTCCTCTTTAGGAGTTTCAGGCCAAATTAAAAATAAAAAAATTTACCCGACCTTGTCCAATGTGCATGAAACTTTGCATAATTGTGTGTTATGGACAACTATTCACAATTTTACAACAACAAAATGAATCTTAGTTTAAGTTAGATTGTTTTTATTAGGGAGGCTTTCAGTCTGGGGCTGGTTTACTTCCGTCATTTGGATGTTGTTGTTTTTTTTTTTTTTTTTTTAATTGACTCTGACATTTTTTCAATAAACTGTAGCACGAAAATGTCACTTTTGATCGAAATAACGTCTGAGACAAAGTTGTTGAGAAAAGTATAGTCTTTCTTGGAAAAATATCTGCGGTATTTTTTATTATTATTATTTAAGGCAAAATCTGAAATATCTCAAAAAGTATACCTTCATTTTTTTTATAAAGCTCAGGCACAATGCAATCTTTTGGAATATTCAAAACAAAGAACACTTGAAATAGCGACACCGGTGGTGTAGTGGTAAGCGTGATTACCTCTCACCCCAGCAAGGTTGGGCGCGATGGGTTCAATCTTGGTCGGCGGCGCCGGGATGTTCTGAGGCATAGGGACGTAAAGCCGTTGGTCCCCGGTTCATGAATCGATGGGTCGATAGGTATGGTCCAGGTGTGGGACCTGCCTCCCTGGCGTCGGTAGCATTGGTACTAAGCACGGAAAATAAGATCGACGGAAAACAAATCAAGGAAAAAAAATGAACACTTGAAAATAGATAAAAAGAAGGTAGAACATCAACTTTTGGTCATATTTTTAAGCTTCTTGTTAGCAAGCTTTTTTATGTAACTTTTGTATAGAAAACGATTCAGAATGTCTCAAATATTTTTTCCTGTGAAGAAATTACATAAAAAAGCGTACTATCTAATAGTTTAAAAAAATGATCAAAAGTTTTTGTTCTATGATTTTTCGTCAATTTTCAAGTGTCCATGGTTTTAAATATTCAAAAACTTTGCGATTTTCATGAGCTTTTCATTTAAGTAAAAATTGATGCTATACTTTTTGAGATATTTAAGTTTTTAACACATTTTTGAGATTTTATTCAAAATAACTAAACACATCGTGTATATTTTTCCCAGAAAGACTTTACTTTTTTCAACAGCTTTGTCTCAGTCATCATTTCGACCAAAAGTAACGTTTTTGTGCTACAATTTATTTCAGGATGACAAAGATGCCATTTTAAAATAAATTACGAGATTCTAAATGACGATTTTTTTGCAAAAACAATGGGAATGACTGTCCATAACAGACAGTTATGCAAATCGGAAAAGGTCGAGTTTAACCGATGCATCATTTGGCGTAGAACTAGTCTAAAAGAAGACTTTTTTAAGTTACTTAAAATTAAACAAAATTCCCTAATTTGAACGAAGTTCCTAAAACTGGTATAAGCTTCCCAAATAAGCAAAGTTTTCTCTAAGAAGTCCCCCGAATTTATATTAAATTTCCCAACTTCCTACGATGCCCTATGAACATCTACTAAGGCTGTGTTCCATTTGGTGAATTTTCACTTAAATTTGACATTTCAAAAATAAATTAACATGTTCGACAATCCCTCCATTGTTGATCGGCCGATTTTCGAGAAGGTGTGCGTCAAAATTGATCTGTCAGAAATAAGTCTGGTACAATAGCAGGTTTATTTGAAAATTTTCCATCCGTCAAATTTAAGTGAAAATTCGTTAAATGGAAGTCCTTGAAGTTTAAAAATTTTTAATGGAGTTTAAAGAAAAATCCCTAAGCTTCAACGAATATCCCCGAATTTCAACAAAATTCGCTAATCAAGTTCGACAATTTTCTACAATGTTTATGATTTTCAACAAAGTTCTCTGAACTTCTACTAAGCTTGCTGAAGTTCTAAAAAATCCTATGAAGTTCACTGAGCTTCAAAAAATTTGCGGAGCTGAATTTCTTTAAAATTTGCTGCACTTCTAGGAAGTATCCAGAACAGTTACATAGTTCAATGAACATCTACGAAGTTTTCGCAAATTTTACGAAGTTTAATGAACATATATGAAGCTATTTGAAATTCTTCAACTTTCTCTTTACTTTTAAGAAGTTTTC